TGGGTGCGGGCGGGGGAAGCAGCGGCTGCAGCTCCGGCAGTCCCGGCTCACCCGGTGCACGTCTTCCAGCAGCTGAACCGCGAGGCTGCCCGGCGCGGGGCTGAGCAGCTGGGTGGACGCCTGCACCACCTCCCACTCCTTCAGGCACAGCCAGGAGCCCAGGTCCGTACAGCTCTCCCGGAGCGTGGCCAGCACACAGCCCGTCCCCGCTGCGGCAGCCTGCCCAGCGGGCTTGGGGCACTCGGCATCACCCGGTGCACGTCTTCCAGCAGCTGAACCGCGAGGCTGCCCGGCGCGGGGCTGAGCAGCTGGGTGGACGCCTGCACCACCTCCCACTCCTTCAGGCACAGCCAGGAGCCCAGGTCCGTACAGCTCTCCCGGAGCGTGGCCAGCACACAGCCCGTCCCCGCTGCGGCAGCCTGCCCAGCGGGCTTGGGGCACTCGGCAAGAGCCAGAGAGCCAGAAACGGGACCTGGTTCTGCTGCTGCAGCACCGGCACGTGCGTCAGGCTCCTCCTGGAGGCTGCTCCGACTGTCCTCCTCAGTGCTTGAGAAACCCTGGTTCAGGCTTTCCAAGCCTGTGGAATCAAGGCAGTCTGCACACTCCAGAAAACAAAGAACGCTCGCCTCCAAGGATGGCTGCTGGCCAAAGAGACTGGATATTCGGTGCGTGATGAGGTCCAGGCTGTCCATGTGCGTGCTGCAGGAGTGCAGCCCTTTCTCCGCGTGCATGCACCACAGCAGCTCGCAGGAGAACCAGTTGGCTTGCAGGTAGTCGTACAGCTCCGGGCTGACCACACGCTTCACCAGCTGGGACAGGGCATCCAGGCTTGCAGCCGAAGGGGAAAACACGGCCTTCTGCAAGGCCAGCGTCAAGTTCTGCTTGAAGGAAGAGGAGATTTCTGCTTCCCTCACGTTCTTCTCAAGGAGTCGGACAGTGTGATAGACAGAAAGGAGCACCTGGGCAGAGGGAAAGAGCTCGTGGAGGATGGCTTTGTGAAAGAAGGACACGTCCACGAAAACAGCCTGGACCTTTTGCCACTCGGGGTTGAACTCCTTGAAGACGGTCAGCATTTTCCTGACGCTGTGTCCTGCGTCGTACTTCAGCAGTGACAAGTGTACCACTTTCCCCACTCGCTCCTTACTCTCTACAAGGAAAGCGTAGAGGACGTGTCTCCCCTCGCTCGGCACCCTGTGCAGCAGGAGGCTCTCGGGGAACTGCATAAACGAGCTCTTCATCTTGCTGGTCTGGAAGCTGAGTCTGTCCAGGCCGTGGTCGCTGTCTGCGCTAATTGAGGCCAGCGAGCCCCTGTCTACCCTCAGGAAGGTTTTCATGACCTCAGCAACCCTGACGAGCACCGAGGCCGAGGCATTTTCCTTCGCTGCCTCAGGGAGTGTGGGAGCCCTGTACAGAGCAGGCGCCCCGTCCACCGGTTGTCCCGCAACCACGTGCGAGTCCTCATCCGCCGCAGCACCGCTGTCGGTCCCACCCGCCTGCTGCTGCTTACGCAGTTTTGTAGCAGGGCCCTCACGTGCCGCGGCGCTTGCCGTCACAGCGGTGGCTCTGGTCAGGGAAAACACCGGGTCCGCATGGACGTGGTTGCTGTTCAGTTCGCTGATCACGAGCCGGTCTATGTCCTCCTTATATTGCAACACAAAATAAGCCGGACACAAGCTGGGCTGCTGCTTTCTCTTCTTGCTGTATTTTTGGGTCCGGGCACAACCAAACTTCACCCGCATGAACCTGCAAGCGTTAAGAAAGCGTTAACGGGGGCAGCAATGGTGGTGTAGGCTGCCAGCATTTAGTTTTGACTTTTCTTGCATGCCAACTCTATACTCAGTTAGTGAGCACAAAAAACCCACACACACATGCCAGTCAGACATGTGGGCTGGCTTCCTGCTCAGCAAAGCCTGGGGTAAGCTCAAACACAGGAGAAACAGAGGAACCGAGAGTTACAACAGCCACGACCGGACACTACAAAGCAGCCCCAGCTCTTGTTCCCAACAGCGCCTCTATTTCTGCTCTCCAGAAACAGCAAAGCCGTCAATGAAAACTTGATACCTGCGTGTTTGTGCCTTGCTCTCTTACAGCACGTATCATTTCTGCAACTCCTCTGCATCTGGAGGAGCAGGCTAGAACATAGCAAGAAAGGCTTCAAGGCATGAGATTAAATTATATTTTAAGAAGGCAAGGGGAGCAGTTGTGTAACTGGAGAACGGCCTTGCAGCCTTTGCACACACAAGCAGATCCACCGACTGGGACGGAAACGAGACAGTGTCACGGCACCACTAGACCCGTTCAGATAAGCAAAGGCTGCGGAATCGAGTACTGCGAGAGGGGAACCTGACAACACCTTTCCCTTGCAGTGCGGTAAAGGCAGCTAGGGAATGCTAGCGGACGCCAATATTTAGCGTCCTGCTACTTGAGTGGAAAAAGGCGGGAGCTATAGTTTGTCAGCAGTTTCAAAGATCAAAGCTACAGGTTTTGCTACAAGAGGCAAAGAGAATCGTCGAGCCAAAAGGCAGAGTAAACCAGAGCTAAGCAGCAGACAGAGGACGGCGGAGCGCCAGCCGGGGAGCGAGGGGGCAGCGAGAGGGCCGGGACACAGCTATATGCAGCGAGGGGGGAGGCAGGAGCGGCACAAGAACAGCCGAGACCACGAAAACGGCAAGCGCGTGACATAACCAACCGTGCCCCCCTCTACGGGTGCGTTACGCTACCGGGATCATCCCTCCCGCAATCAGAGAGCCCGGCCGCAACAGCGTTCAGCCGGGCGCGGACGAGAGCTTGCGCCCTGCGGAAGGGCACGGTTCCTTTCCCCCCCCCCCCCCCCCCCCCCCCCCCCCCCCAGTTGAGGGGAAGAAAAAATACAGAGATTATTTCAAGTGTTTTGTGATCATAACGCTCTATTTCTTTAGGCCATATCTGCTAGGAGGTTATGTTTTGTAAGTGTGGCTCTTCACTGACATATAACGTACCCAGATAAATACACAGGAAAAGAGTTAATCCTAGATTTTGTTTTTCCAGGAAGTTGCCAGTAACACTGAAAAAGCAACACAAGCTGTGCCAAAACTGTGTCTATACTGCCTAATGCAATTGTTCGAAAGTGAAATAGTTGTCTTGTCTGTATGGTTCATCTTCTCTCAGCACCTGTAGGAATATTTTACAGTGAGACACCTGTTCTGTATAAAAGTAAGGCAAAATTGATAACATTTCGTTGCACTTGTGCCCACTGAAATCTCCACTGAGGTCCAGAGGGATTCCACTCCTTTTAACGGCTGCTTGGAGCTATAAAGCTGTATGCCTTTAGTATTGCATGACTGGCTTCTTTTAACAGAATCTGGTACTATAAAAAATTAAAGTGATCATTTAGACAAGACATAATTAAGTGAACAGAAGTAATGAAACACTGCAGGAGTACCATCAAATATGAAATTCCAAATGCCCCCCAACGGGCACTTGCTCGATGAATGACTACCCAAAAGCACTGGCCCCATCTTTTGAGAACATGTATTAATTTATTTTATATTTCTCTGGATAATGGGGCATCCATGATACCTTTATATATTTCATTAGCATACATTTCAAGCTCAGAGTTGTTCACTAAGGAATCAAAAGTGGAGTCATTTTAGTACAGACATGATTTGTTCAGTAACTGAAAATCTGCTCTACTATTACAGGCTATTGTAAAAGCTTTATTTCTGAGTTATGTAAGCTCCTTTTGTTCATGTCATTCTACAGGACAAAGTTATTGTCATGCACTGTTAGTAGCTGACTAATCCTCATCTTCTGGAAAAGGACCACTGGAAAGTACTCCCCTCACTTATGCTTCTTGTGGAAATTAGTCTTTACTGGTATGCTACGGCTCTGTTTCTGAGGAGACCTGGGAACAAGTAACATTTAGATGATTCTGGGCTTTGCTCCACTTACATGAACTGTACCATGTCACAGTCAAGGTCTGTTGAGTTACATGCGAATAACTATGGCCCAGCATTGCAGTGAAGCTGGGGAATACATTTTTCAGTATTATTGTGATGGCTAAGTTTTCTGGGGGGTTTTGCTTAGAGATTTTCTGCTAATTTACACAGAAAACTAAAAAACAAACTCAAAAGGGGAACAAATGCAAACCCAAGCAAGTTTCGGCTCATACGAGCCCCTTCATAACACTGTGATTATTTCACTCAGCCATTCATCTTTGGTAAAGCTGCTGCCATCCTTATACTTCGCTCCAGCACAGCAGAGAGAGGGTGGCACTGCCAGCTCAGGGCACAGCGGGCTCAGCCCGCCTGGCCCCAGTGCTTGGCCTCTGTAGGTCAGGTCCCCTCTGTGGTGCGTGGTGGCCCAATGGCAGAACGTCCCTTTTCTGTCCCAGGGGACCCCCAGGTGCCGGTGCTGTACGAGGTGGAGCGGACCCGTACAGGGAAGAGCTTCTCTGTTCGTTCTGTAAAGGCCATCCAGCACGGAAAGCCGATCTTCATCTGCCAGGCCTCCTTCCAGCTCTCCCAGGGGAGCCCAGTGCAGCACCAGTTCACCATGCCTGCCGTGCCGCCCCCTGAGGAGCTGCTGACGCAAGAGGAGCTCATCCAGAAGTTCCTGCAGTGAGTGGGGTGGAAGGGGCACGCCGGGGATGCCCTTCTCTGCGGCTGGGGCTTAGGGAGGTGCAGGGATTGGGGCGACTGCCTGAGGAGTTCCCAAATATGCCTGGGAGGGGAGTAGAGAAGCAGGACAGGACAGGGCAGGAGCCGTGCCCCTCCTGCCTTTCTGTGTGGCCCTGGGTCCCTGGGCTGAAGCCGCTGCCAGCAGGACGTGCCCCTGGCCTGCCTGGAATTAACCTCAACTTCTCCGTGTTGGTCTACAGGAATCCTAACTTGGCGGAGAGATACAGAAAGCATCTCAACAAGATTCAAGCCGAAGATGTGCCGATTGATATCAAACCCGTGAACCCGCCAGATATATTCTGCTCGGAGCTGCAGGAGCCAAAGCAGCTCTTCTGGGTGCGAGCACGAGGCTACATAGGTGGGTCCTGCTGGGAGGGTGGTCCAGCTGCCTCACGAGCCGAGGGCTCAGGCTCAAGCTCAAGCTCACACTGTGGAGCATCCTCGTGATGGAGTGGGCCAAGAGGGTTGTGATTCAGAGGCTGTCTGCACCCTAAGCCTGCGGGGAAGCCTGGGGATTTCAAGGCTGGAATACGGGTGTGGGTGCCTGAGCGTGAAGCGATGCCTGTGTGCCGTGCTCAGCCACAGCGGGCTTTCCCCAGGGGGCACGGCAAGGGGAGCGCGTCTGAAAGAGCATCTCGGCTCTGCTTGGCCAGCAGCTGAGCCTCGGGGAAGCAGAGCTCCTGGGGCTTTGCCTCGCGCTACGTGCCCATGCTTGTCCCATGGCCACCCTGTGGGGGACGGGCAGTGCCGGTTGCTTTGCAGGAGAGACTGACATGAAGGTGCACTGCTGTGTGGCTGCCTACATCTCCGACTACGCCTTCCTGGGCACGGCCCTGCTCCCGCACCGGCAGTACCGCATCAAGTTCATGGTGTCCCTCGACCATTCCATGTGGTTCCATGCGCCCTTCCGAGCGGACCACTGGATGCTGTACGAGTGCGAGAGCCCCTGGGCTGGTGAGTCCTCACCGCATTCCCTGGGACCCACGCGGCAAAGGCCAGCCCTGCCTGTGCTGGGGGGCGGCGGGCCGCGGTCTGACAGGCGCTCTCTGCAGGCGGGTGCCGGGGACTGGTGCAGGGACGGCTGTGGCGCAGGGACGGGGTCCTGGCGGTCACCTGCGCGCAGGAAGGAGTCATCAGGGTGGAGCAAACGCCAAACCAGAGCAAGCTCTAGCTGAGGAATTCCCCGCGGGCTGGGGCTCAGGCACGCCGAGGGAGGGATCCCAGGACCAAAACAGATGCGGGCAAGGCGCGACCTGGGTGGCAGCGGGAAGGAGCCTTGAAAGAGACTGGGCTGGATCCAGCACTGCGGAGAATGCTGGTGCCAGAGGCCCTCTGCGACGGGTGGGGACGAGCAGAGGCCCTGTGACCGACTGCCAGCTGCATAGCACGTAACCGCACACTACGATCGGCCACCCTTCACCTGCCTTAAATAAAGCCGTCATGTGAACAGCTGGGCTCCGTCCCCTGGAGTTTGTCCCCTTGGCCCCCGTGATTGTGCTTGCCCGAGGCAGCCTCTCCTGGCAGGGGGAGGGCGGGCAGCGCCGGGGGCACTGGGGGCCGGCTCTGACCCCGCAGCAGGCTGGGTCGCAGGAGGGGAAAGTGCTACTACGGCACATGTAGCTTCCCCTTCTCACTTCTCCTGCCCTCCTCGTGCCCCTGGTGCATCAGTTGCTGCTTCTGCTTGCCCTCGGTCTCCTCCCCAGGGCCGGGCTCGGGCCCAGCCACTGGGAGCCGGGGAAAGGGCACGAGTCAGCTCCCACCTCAGCGTGGGGGGCTTGAGGCTTCCCGCTGATGGTGCCCTGGGGGAAGCGAAGCTGAACAGACACAGAAGGCGCCTTGCTCTTCTTCCTACCAAGACTTTATTAAATAAAGTCCTTTTTATTATATAAGTTTTATGGGAAGCTCCTGGCAAGAGCCCCAGACCCTGCCAGAAGCCTTCCTGTTCCCTTACGCAGTGCCAGTATGTCCCAGCTAAAGTCCCGTCCACTCTAGAAGTCCCCCCGCAGAGGGAGAGCCGGCTCCCGGCAGTGCCGGTGTGGGTGGCGAGCGCCCATGAGCACACGTGAGCACCCGGCCCCGTGGGACGGACTAACCACAGAGAAAGTGCATTTTTGAGGCAGCTCCCGGGCGTGGGCCGTGCTGCCCGCGGGAGCGCAGCGCTGCCTCCCTGCCCCATCCCCGCCCGTGGCATCGCCCTCGCTGCTCCCGGCCACCCCGGGCACGAGCCCCACGTGGCCCTCTGCCTTCCTGCCAGCGCTGCCGCCGGCGGTGGGACGCTCACTCCAGAGGCTCCTTGATCAGGCACTCCTTCAGGGTGGGCTGCTGCTGCAGGGGCGGCCCGGCCTCCCGCAGGTCCTGCAGCCGGGCCTCCGAGCGCCGCTTGTCCTTGCCCACCTTCCAGGCCAGGTGGACGTGGGCCTGCAGGAAGGGCCCCAGCAGCGGGTGGCTGCCTTGGGCCTCCAGCAGCTGCAGCGCCTGCTCGCAGCAGCTGTGGGCCTCGCCGAGCTCATCCAGCTCCTGGTGGCAGACAGCCAGCCCGGCCAGCGTCAGGAGGAAGCGGCCGGAGCCACAGACCCCCAGCCGGTCCTGCAGCCGGTAGGCGTTGGCCCAGGTGGCCAGGGCCTCGCGGTACATGCCGGTGCAGGTCAGGCGCTGTGCAGCCCGCAGGTCCTGCAGGAAGAAGAACTCGAGGAACTCGGGGGAGCGGCGTATCTCGGCGATGGAGTGCAGGTGGGACAGGAACTGCTCGAAGGCTCGGCTCCGCTTGGCAATGGTCTCGGCGGTGAAGTTCCGGCGCAGCCTCTTCCTGGGGAAGGCGATGCCAGCCATGTCGCAGCCGAAGCGGCAGCGCAGGCGGCGGTTCAGCCGCTCGAAGTCCGAGTAGCGCCGGGCGATGGCGGCAGGGGCCTTGTCGAACCGGCCGGAGCGGATCAGGTAGATGGTGTAGAGCTGCGGGGGGAGCCGGGTGTCAGGGCGGTGCCATGGGCGCGCTGCTCCCGCGGGGCCGGGCAGAGCCGGGTGTGCGGCCGCAGAGGGGCCACGGGGCGGTTTGCCCAGGCAGGAGGGAGCAGGCTGGGCTGCCGCAGCTGCAGCACCCATTGGCGATAGTTACCTGAGGCTCATCTGAGCCGCCAGCACCGTCCGAGCCGCACGGGGAAAGACAGAGAGAAATAAGCGCCAGCCCCGTGGGACCCCCGCCCCGGGAGGGAGCAGGACCCGCGGCCACCTCTGCGCCCACCCCACACCCACCCCGCGCTCACCCAGCCCCGCCGGGCTCACTCACCACGTACTTGGAGGAGCGCTCGCTGACCACACTGGCGCTGGTGACCTCGAAGAGCAGCCGCTGCGGTGCCAGGCTGCCCCGCGACTTCCTCCACAGCTCCTGCAGCTGCCGGGTCAGCAGGCTGCCGCCGGGGCGCTCTGCCCCGGGAGAGGGGTATCAGCCCGACCGCTGCGGGGACGGGGCTCTCCCAGCGCCCCGACGTCTCTGGGCCGCTGGCCCCCACCCTCACTTGGGTCCCCCCCAGGGTGCTGCTGCCCCGGGGAGCGGGGCTGCCCCAGCCCCCCCAGCACACCAGCCCCAGCACCTGCCTCCATCCTCTGCACCCGCTGCCGCGCCTGTCGGCTGCGGCGGCTCCCCCAGCTCCACTCCAGCACCGTCCTCCTCCTCCTCTTCCTCGTCCTCCTCCTCCTCGTGGCTGGTGAAGCTCAGGGTGCCGCTG